CATAACTGGGAAAATTTTAGTGATATTGCAATATTGAGAAAATATTGTATCATGACCCAAGTATCGTGATATGTATCGTATCGTAACACAGAGAACATTACTTTTACAAGCATTAGTTGTTGTTGTTTCTCATGGTGTCTACTGAAATTTTTCTTTCTCACCTTAATGAGCTAAAACCAAACACACACAAGGCTTTGTTTTGGAAACTTCTAAAGGTTTGTGCTGAAAACTCCCTCTTATTCCTAAACAGAATAGAAGGGAGAAGCCCCAGATTGATTATGTGCAGAACTAAACCTGGGTGCTACACATTATCAACCCGGCTTGCCAGGTTAGTCTAATCTGAAAATCCAAACACATACATTCCAGTTTGCGAAACTAACATTAAAAGCATGTTTAAAAGTTCAAGGGGTGTTTATACTTTAGTAAGGTTCTGTATCTATACATTACCTTTTTATTTCAAGTCCTTGACCCAACAAAACAAAGAAAAAAAAAATGAACCAATGTGTTTGCTAAGTTTGCTAAGTTAAATATGCTGTAGGGGCAGATGAGCAGAAGTGATCAAATTCCTGCTGGAAGGATGTTTTATTAAAAGGTATAGAGCTGTGGCGAATATCAAATGAAGGGTTGAGGGTGCATCATCGCCACACTTCCCCTAATCGCCGTATTGCAGATGCATAATTCATACTTTGTGACAGATCATCCTCTAATCGCATCACAGAAATCTCAGCAGATGAAGTAGGGAGGTTGAAACTACTTGTCAAACACAGATTCAGGAATATAAAGCTTTATTTACCTGACTTCTAACATGACCTTAGAGGGGGTTTGTGTTCCACTGTAGCAGGTGTTGCCTGAGAGGGCAGTTTTGTTTTTTTTACTTGAGCATCGTAGCATCTTTAAATGTGTTTTCATTTTAATAAGATTTTAAGGTATGTTACTTTTTTGTTGAATGTTCTTTGGAATCTGAGTTTAAAAAGAGGGAAAAAAAACATCAGTGTAAACGAGTGTTTGAGTGCAGTCTCTCAGGCAGTGTTTTATGCCTGATTGGTGCTAAATGGTGTGCACATTCAGTGGTGAGGTTTATTTTTCACAGGAACCACTCTCATATTCCCAGAAAGATGAGAAAAAGAACCCCGATAACTGCACCCCAAATATTTCATAGTTTAAACTTAATTATGTCAACAATCACTTAGATCAGAAGCATCGGGCCCCACCGACACAAAAAACCCTTAAGCATTTGTCACAGGCTGGACTATAATGACTTTTCATTGCACATTCTCTATATTATCATATGTCAAACTTTCCAAGTTCCCAGTTAGTAAAACAACAACATTGCCTCCTAAATTCCAACTAGGAAAGCTGGAGCTCAATTTAGCTTTCATTATGGGCATGACACATAGAGGAAATCATAGACAGAGACATGCTTCTGCATCTTTGGAAGAAACAGCAAAAGTTGCTTGTGTAAATATTGCCTAGTCCAGTAACCAGCTCATTAGCATACTTCAAGTGGAATGATGCGCTGCAATTTGTTTAACATCTTTTTGGTGCAATGTGTGTCTTACACTAAAATGTCAATTTCTGTTTTCTCTTTTTCTTCTGAAAGTTGTTCCAGCCAATAACCTTATAGCGTCAACTTCAAGATCAGAACTACTCAAACTCAAACCTTCAAAGTCTGCAATTTCTTTGTTTTCAATAGACAAATAAGTAAACAACCCAACATCACCAAACTGGTGCTTTAAAACTGAAGGAAAAACTCAAGAGTTGGGAATAAAATGGAAATCAAAACAAAAGCGAATAACTTCTCCATGTGTAACTGGAAACACAAGCTTCTAAAGAGGTTAAATCCTATAGAAGTTAACAACTGTGTGTTCCTGTCCATTTATCAGTTTCAAAGAACAACAATTAGGTCATGCGGATCTGTGATGATGTTTTCCGCAGCGGTTGGTTTGTTTGGAGGGATCAGAGGGCTGTGTAGAATTTACTTGGTGTTCCCGAGTCAAAGTATGGCTAATGAATATTTATAGCAATGTGTCCCCTGCCATCCTCTGGGTGGGCATACCAAATGAGAAACCACATGTGATCACATAGACTGCTGATTCTTTCAGATTTGGTCAGCACTGGCTAAGCCATTGTCAGAGTACAGAATCAGTCATTTCCATAAAGATACAACTATGAGTGCTTAATGGCATTTTTTTTTTTTTTATTGGGTAAATTTAGTTCAGTACTGTTTTACACGAAAAAATGAGCTTAGAAGATGTCTGTATTTTTCTCCTTAAATATACTAAGTTCTAGACAGATCATTCACCCTAAATAACAGGACAACTCAAGTAGTTCACTTAAAGACACAAAAACAACTTAACCCTTAAATTTTGCTTCATAAAATAAGGTGGAGTAACAGAAATACAAGAAACAAAACAGACAGAAAACCCTTGTACTATTAGTATGAATTAATACCGGTGCATTCAGCTGAATTCTAAATCAACACTGTAATTGATAGGTGGGAGCATTATGGCGTAGGACTATGATTTAACAATATCGTAGTGTAAGTCTTCAAATAAAAGCAGCAGGAATTTTTTGAAAAGAGTTAATCACCTGACATTAATCCAATTAAAACATCATTAAGCTGGCATAGAGTCCCCCAGAACCCTAAAATTTCTATACTTTTTCTGTTTATGAAGGGGTCAAAATCGTACACTAGAAACAACAGTTGTTTTCCTCCTAGAGTTGTGTTTTTTGCCATTTCAAGGAGGCTTTTAATACTTACTACCTGTCACACTGGAGAATGTATATATTTATATATATATATATATATATATATATCGTGCAAAATTATGTGCTCAGGGCTTATTTTCTCTGCTCTAACATATTTCTTGCTATTGATTCCGCCTGACAAAATCATATTGGCAGCAACCACCTGGTTGAGTACTGGTAGAGTACTGTCAGGTATTCAAGTGGATCAAATTTACAGTCTCACACAAATGATTGGTTTATGTGATTCATGAAATAGTTTTCCAGTACGCGAAGAGATGGACTTCTCCATCCATGCAAACATATCAAACGATTTTTCGACTTCTGTCCTATTTCGCAGCATCTCACAGAATGATTTCATTTGTCAGCTATATGGCCTGGCAAAAGAAACTGAAAAGCTAGACCACCTGCACTTACTTATATCCCAGAGCCCCACGAGCGAGTGTCTGAGAAGGCTCAGAGGATTAACTTACAACTTTTACAGCTCAGTCGGCACACGCTATTATACCTATTCAGCCACACTTGCCTCTGGGCTATGTACAAAAGAAGAAAATAGCCGCACGCACACATATATATGCACGCACTGCCCGCTTGACCTGGTTATAAAGCAAACTGTCACAACCCTACTGCTTATGTCTGCATGTATGTGTTTTTTCCTCATCTTTAGGGGAAAGTCTGAAGTTTTCCATCTGTTCTGAGGAGTGAATCTGTGATCCGCAGCCTGCGTAATGAGGTGAGATAATCTCTGCAGGTTCTGGGAGCTGCCAGGGATGGATGATGGTAGGAGGAATGTTATAAAGCAGACTGCCCAGATGACAGCAACAAGGGTCCCTATTAGAGAAAGGCGGTGATGAAGAAGTAAATTTGATTATGTAGTATGACCACTTATTCCTGCTAGTTGAACGTCACAAGCTATTACGTTACTTTACTAATATAAGTACTGCTGCATATTTCTGAGTTTACATCTTTACTTACTTCATCTAATGTATAGACAACCTTGTTATAATACAATTAAATAAAATAATACAATATTATCTGGCTGCTTTTGTTTACAAAAAAGCAGCATATGCCACAATTTACATACTGTAATAATGTTGTGTCCAACAGCCTGTGGCGAGAGTGTTTTTAGCGTACCTTAGTGTTTCTGATTGCCTGGTCTGCCTCTCAACCACTGAGTCTGCCTGTTGCTGTTCTCATCTGTTTGCCTGACCTGTCTTTCGACTACTGGACCTCTGAGCCTGCCTGTTCCTGTTCTGATTCGTTTGCCCGACCTGACTTCGGATTACTGGATCTCTGAGACTGTCTGTTCCTGTTCTGATCTGTTTGCCTGACCTGGCTTCAGGCTCCTGGACCTCTGAGCCCGCCTTTTCCTGAGTACTACTAATAGTAACTGGTTAGTTAGCTGGATATCCTCTCTATGATTTTTATTTTGTACAACCTTGGACGTCTAAACTTTATCACAATCTGGCCTCCTAATTGTTTGCTCAAACACCCTGATAGATCTCGATTTTCCAAGCCAATTTTACCACACTTTTAAGCTATAGTACTTATTTCTTTCAGCTTTAAATTGGCAGTTCTTTTAAGTCAAAAGTTGAACTGAGCTGTTACTGTACGGATACTAAAAGACTCAGTTTGAATACCTGATATAATATCCCTAAAATAACAGCAGCCATTTTTTTTAACATATTATTACATCACCAATCATAAGTCAAATATAGCTGCACTTGTAAACGTTTTTCTGTCTCCGCCAAGTATAGTGACAGCAGAAATAAGGGAGTTGGAGATGCCAATATTACACCCATAGACAGCACATGCACTTACAAAGGTAGTAGGCTAAAAATCCAAAACATTTATGAAGTATTTTTAATAGAGTAAGACTGTGCTGTCCTCTTTTTGTAGGTAGTGAGGATTACTGAGGCATATCTGTTGTCCTTTAGGAATATCTTGCATGACATGCCTATACAATTTAATGAGTTGTTACTTATATGATTGTTTTGTGACTGTTTAGCTTCTCTACAGATTAACTTGTCAGAAACCTTATTAAGAAAAAAACAACTGATTTCAAGGAAAATCAAACAATAACATAAATTAACTAATTCCTGCTCCTCAATAACTACTGTAATAATTGTTCTTATTATTAGACCTTGTAGCATTCTTCTCTTTACTTAAAGAAATGAATAGATCAAAGAACAGGACCTCAGGTTTTTACCTTCACATTGAACTCTCAAATGAAGTCACAAGGCAAGAATACTTACAGGAGGTCCTGAAAGAGAAAAGAAAAGAAAACTTGATTTAGTTTATATTTAAATTGCAATCAAACACAAAGTATCACTATTTCAGAAAGGAGAATACCTAGACATGTGAAAAAGAAATGCCAGCATTCAATAATTTCCATTTTTATTGTATATAATGCACATCATTAAAACTTATGTCTTACTCTTAAAAGTGGTCACTGAATCGATTTCATACAATATGATACAATGTATTTCACAAGAATCACATGAAAACTAAAGTATATGCGAAAAGATGCGTCAACATTCCATACATGTTTTATACACCCTTTTTATTATTTTCATACATATATGAACACATAGTATTTTAGGTTTTCTGTATTTGTGTCCTTTCAACTGCTCCCATGTTGAGGGGGTGCCCCAGCAAGTCATTACAACCTGCTACCAGATATGGATGGATGCTTTTCCTGAGGCAAGCTACAATCACAATTAAGACTTTATACAGCTTATCTTTATGTAAAGTTTACATTTTTTGAAGAAACTTGATGTTTTCTTTAAATATTTTTGTTATGCACCTTATTTGCCTGGAAATAAATGTGTTCTACCATTGTTTTTGTTGCGTGATTCTTCATTTCACCATTTCCATGGGTTAACTGATGTAAGCCCAACAGGAGATACAAATGGATGCTCAGTTTAGGAAATATCTGTCTTAGTTGAAGTTTAGAGGGTAAAAAAACAACCAAGGTAAGAAAGCCTTTTGAAGTATGTTTATTTAAGAGTTTATGTATTTTGGTGAAATCTACTAAAGAACAGTTTTTTTTGTGGTGCAAGCATCTCTATAATGAACTAAGGTTAAAGACAACAAAATATGGACATTTATTCTAAAAGATAATGAGCATGTAATATGTTCATAATGTGCTAAATAAAAAATACTAAAGGTGGAAATAATTTAACACCCAACTGTCGCTGGGTTTTTGTAAGCTCATGCATTTCCTTGTAATTCTATCAGATTTGGATGCAGTTTATGTATGTCTTTACAACATTTCAAGTACAGTATTTTCTTTGTTTCTTCCAATCATTTAGTTTCACTGATGATCGATTGATAATAAGAATTAGATATCTCCTTTCCATATAGGTAGTATTTTTCCCAAGGACTTAAACTTTCTGTTTTCCATCCAGTTGGGAGAAAAAAATGCCATCAGGGATGGCAATCACATTTTAAATTTGTAAGTGGCTCTGATTTTATTATACAAGGGGTTGTGTGCTTGTTAAAAATCTCCAATGATTTTTGTGAGGTGACACTTTTTCCCCAATTACTGAAGCTCAAAGGACTCTGTGAGAGAACAATGCTACACTCCCAGAACCAAGCAAATATTGGACTTTTTATTAAAAAGGTTCCCAGCTGCTTCAACCCTGAGAAAAAGGATTTTATTTCTTTACCATCCCCACGTCCCCTGAACCGCTCTTCTCCATGATTTGCTCAAATCGGTCTGACAGCTGGGGCCCATGAGAAGTCATGAGATTGAGACTTAGTGGGCCAAGCTAATATGCTGTTTAATGAATGATTGAATTAAAGGAGAACAAGGTTTCGGCAAACCTTCTTCTGTATACAAATAAATTGGGTGTTTGTGGAGGTACAATAATTAAATCATCCCGATCCAACTTTAATCATTTTCACCTTTATAATCTCACATCATTGATAGCTTAAAGCTCTATCTTTAGATAGAGCTTCACATTCTTTATGTCATTCTACTAGCCAGTTACAAATAATAGACATAATTCAAGAAAAGGCTATCTTGTGGAGGATGAAATAGCAAATATTTTGGCAAAGGTTATGAGAATTTAGGGTAGTGCAAATGTTAGTAACAAAAAAAGAAGTAAAGAAGAACAATTAGGAAGAATGGAAGTTAACGTCGCAGAATACAAAGAAGGGGGGAGGAAAGTTGCTAGGAAGTATGAAAAGTGGGTAGAAACAAAGAAAAGTAGACTGAAAAATTGTAAGTATAGGAAGGAATAAATGTAGAAAGGAAGGTAATTATAACTTGGGAAAGTGTATTACAACCCCAGACTTAAATGGGATTTTACTTTTGAATACAAAGCAATGGATAACCATGAAGTGAGAAGAAAGTAACATACTGTAGTTTAAAATGATAAACAAAATTGTTATAATCCTCATGATGTAACAGACTAGTGAACAGTCATTGGGTGTACATATCTGGTGGTGGTACTTCCCAAAAAATATTTTGGGAAAATATTTCATGACACTTAAGAATAAAGCTCCAATTTCCTCGCAAACATCTTTAATAAAAAAAATAATGCTTTTTGTGGCAAAAAGGGAGGGAGCTGATTCTGGGCCCCCCCCCACCCTGTTGGCGTACGTACATGCTAGGAAGAGAAAGTTTTACCCTTTCTCCTTTTTGTCACAGCTGAAACTAAAAGTTAATCTATTTGTTTTCCCCAAGTTTGAAATTACATTTAAAAGCTGATATTACCTAGGCCATTTAAACATGTGAATAGGCTGCTAAATCATTCTACTGTAGCTATGACTGAGTGTTTGGGGACGTGTTGTCCTGCTGGAAGGAGAACTCTTAATTCTCTGCATCTCTTTTTCTCTGCTTAAGAGAAGCAATGAAATTACATCATTTTGCCATAATTTTGGGGTTTTCATTTATTGTTTATCATGAAAGGAAGGAAGGAAGGAAGGAAGGAAGGAAGGAAGGAAGGAAGGAAGGAAGGAAGGAAGGAAGGAAGGAAGGAAGGAAGGAAGGAAGGAAGGAAGGAAGGAAGGAAGGAAGGATCTTATGGTTTTCTTGTATTGGTGTCTTGCTGCAACACGATATAGGATTGGTTTTTCCCTGTTTTTAGACATCAGGTGGAAGTAATCTTTTTTGTATTAATTACCTCATTCATCTAGGATTTTTTTTTTTTCTGAGTGAAAAAGTCCCACTTTAACCTCTTTCTTCATCTGTATTTAAACAAAAGAGAATGGAAACCTATATATTATTCATACAGTGTTTTTAGTACAAATGTCAAAGGATAAAGCACTTTACAGCACAAGACATTTTAATATCCATATGGGGACATTAAAAAGTCCATTCTTGAACTATTCACTCCACCGCCACGCTCGGCTGCTGGAGCTTGCCAGTTTAAGGATCTGTTCCTTTTTTCATTGGCGCTGGTACTTACTAACAAGTCTTGATTGTTTGCATAGAAGGAAAATATTCAACCAAACCTTTCCAGCAATGACTACGTGTTAGAACATTTTGACTTTGCGGTGTTTCCCTGAGCAAAAACCTTATTCATCCCACTTTTTTCCTTTTCCGTATGTCCCCAGTTAGCAAACAAGTGATCCTAATGAACTATTTCATTCATATTTAACACCGGAAAATATCACTATGTCTTTTTCCAATTTTTCTTCCAGTGAGCTTCAGCAAAGCCCGCCTGAAAGCTTCCTTCTGCCTTTAAAAATTATAATTTTGGTCAGAGTGGATCATGAAAAACACATGATTGGCTTTAGGGTAAAAAATGAACAGAGTTTTAAGAACTTCTGGGAGAATAGCAAAAGGCTTTTAGAAAGGAATTCATTACATCTGTGCCTGTCAAGGACTTTGCTTTTGCAGAATAAGAGAAATGATAACTCAGCTTTTTGTCCCTTTGAAAAACTACAAATAAAGAGCTTTTTGTGTTAAGTGAAAAAATATGTAGGAAAAATCAAGTTCTTGCTGGCATGATGGCATCTACTAAACCTCATTATTTTGTCAACACATTAATATAACAGGATATTACACAGATGAGGCCTAATATTCCTACCAACCACTGTGTCAGGAGACAATACGTTGGTTTGCTATTTTCCAATTGACTTGTCAAGAGAAAGTTATTCACAATCCCTACATTTGTTCAGCTTGAAAAGCAAAGAAAAATGTTCCTATACAACGAGGCTATCTGAGATACGCGGATGTGATAGATGTTTATCTGGGAGTTTGGCTCATCAAAATAAAAGCCTGGTAACATTTCAGACTTACAACCTGCTGTGATATTGAAGGTTTTGTCTATCATTTGATTTCCCACATTTCATTTCAGTCAACAATACACGGGAACATCATTTTTGCTACATATACAAAAAAGGAGGACACTGAATCTAACCATACAAATTTACAAGATGTATAAACCAATCCCTGGAATCATTGTCTATTCATTAAGAAAAAATTAAAGTAAATAAATGAATATAATCTGTTTTACTTGAACAGCAAACCTCAGTTTATTGGTTTTCATTTTTCCCGACCTTAAACAAGTTTATATATATATATATATATATATATATATATATATATATATATATATATATATATATATATTTTTATATATATTTATTTCAGTAATTCCATTTAAAAAGTGAAACTTGTATATTATATTCATACATTACATACAAACTCATATATTTCAGATGTTTATTTAGTTTAATTTNTTTTTCCCTCAAAGACAAAGGGTGTCATTTTCAGGCAGTAAATCCAGACATACTCCCTTTGCTACGCTGTCCGTCTAATTTCTTTTTTACAAGGGCAATACCTTTGTTCCCAAGTCCCTTTCGTTGTGCTCTATTGCACTGTGCTTCAGCTCAGAAAACTAACACACTTCTGAGCCCATTATCAGTTTTTCTATCAGGTGAAGGGAGTGTGGATGCGTCTCCCTGCCAGCAAAGTGCATGCGCTTGCTGCAAATTCAATTCCTGGCGACACTCTTGGGCTGTAGAGGTGTCAGTGTACAAAATCTCATTCTCTCAGATATACAAGGCCTCAGTTCGGCCTGGACTTTTGATTCAGATAAGAGTGGAGGGATGGGGGGTATAGGAGATAGATGGAGGAGATTGGACATTTTAATTACAGCAACAGTGAAAAGAATGTACCTAGTTTTTCAATCTGAAGTTTTGATTCACTAGGACATTCTATTACATGCAGAACTGCCTTTGCCAGCAGTGCATTGCAGAAAACTTAGGAAGATAGAAAGATCTAATTAGCATCTCACAGAATTCAGTCTTCTTTTCACTGTTTAAGTTCAGTTAGTTTTATAACATTTCTTTAATCTGTTAAGTCCACCTTGATGCTGTTCTCTTTTAACCCTTCCTTTAGCATCCATTTTAAGTCAAACTTTATCTCACAAATGGCTTCACGTTAAGTCTTCTCCACCATTTGGTAGACAAAGAACATCCATGATGCCACCCTAAATGTTTTGAGCAAACTAAACTGCAGAAAACATTTAGCACTTCTTATTGCTGAGAAAATGGAGACTAAACTATACACTGTGGTTAAAATTGTATTTTTCTCACACTGGAATCGCAGGACATTTCCATCATTTTAATCGACTAGGGATGGAAGGTGAGTTTTCCTTCCCACTGTTACCTGTATAAGGGATTGCTGCAAAGTTAATAATATGATGCAATTTCTTCCTTCGATAGAAAACATAATACACCAAACTTGGCTGCAGTGTTTTAAAAATCCGATAGGACTGAAATGTATACAGATTCCTTTTATTGTTCCCTCATGATTTGGCCTTAAATGATTGTGTATTCTTTATGACATTCAGCTCTTAATGTTGCAGTTTTCGTAGTGTTGCATGGCCTTAAATGACAGACTTTTTTTTTTTTTAATATTACTCTAGAACCTCGAATCCATCTACTACCTCCTTTTTACTTATTGGAGTTGTTTCCCCTCTTTTTATTTTGATCTTGACATGAGGTGAAGCTAATGTAAAAAGCAATAAAACCCCTTTTTGCTTGATTAAAGAGTAAATATCAATCTTTTATGTCTTCTTTGGCACTCCATTGCCATTTCTTTATCAGCAAAGTTAACAATTTAAAAATGGCTAGTTGCTCTGATTATGACTTTAACTGTGCTGTCCCCTTGTCAATCAATAATATTTCTCAGTTTACTTACACAACTTATGAATGACTGCTTCTTTTAACTTCCAATAAGAGTCTACACATGTTTTCACCAAATAAACTCTGTATGCTGACATCAAGTTTGCAGAGCTTCAACAGAAAGATTTCAATTTGAAAAATTCTCTCAAATGCCACATGATCATGTAATCGCTTTAGTTATAACACATCTGAAAGCCAAAGCAATTCATAAAGAAAATTCTCCTCATCTAATACTCACTGATTTCCAATTTAGGCATATAGGTAATTTCATTTGTATACACAGTGTCTGCTCCTTTGGGCTTACATATGAATATTTATGAGATAGTACCATTCTATTATGTCGTGATAGGCAAAGTATTTGATTTAAAGCAGGGTGTACCTTATTTTTTGCACAACAGTACATCATAGGTTGTTTTTTTTCCCCAACCAATTCAAATAAGTTGTTAAATGTTTAGTGATCTTTTTCAATGTTATTTCTACTATAATCTCTGGAGAATCAATTTATCAGACTAGAGGAAAAAACTAAGGCATATCTTTATCTCTTTTGGAACCACAACATCTCTCCTCTTAACTTGAAAATGTATAGTTTCTGCAGGAAAGAAATCAATCCCAGCATGTCCTGAAATAATAATGTCTTGCAGATTTTAGTCTTAAATATATTCATTCTGCAGTTATGGCTGTAGAAAAACTTGCTGGTGTCCAACTGCATAATTTTCTTTAAATTATATGAACAAAAGGATTCTGATCTCTGATCCAAAATATAAATGTACATACCAGGTTCTCCATCACGACCTCTTCTTCCTCTCTTACCAGGAGGTCCTGGAACAAAAAGAAACAAAGTACATTTCAGCCTTGACTTCCTCAAATATGTTTTACATTCTGTGTCTATTCTCACAGTAAAACCGCTTTCCTTGAGCACGAGAAGGCAATGCAATCATCTTTTTTGTCTTACATGAATCCTGTGTGTGTTTTTTTCTATAAGCCCCACGGGTTCTCCTGATGTTTGTGCTCAAAATAACCCAATAGGTTTCCTCAGCAGCTCCAAACTCTGGTTAAATAATCTCGGTATCAAAAAATAACACTGACATTTGGGGAATCTATCAGAAGTGTAAGTATAGCAGTAGCTGCTGTTGTTTAAAAAATAATGAAAATGGAGTAGATAAAAAAGGAGGATTATTTTTCTTGCCACAATGAATTCGCATTTACAGTATCAAAACTTTTTAGAAGTATTCTGCATAAGGAATTTGGAGACCAAGAGCAGCTGTGGTTAAATTGTAGCTTGACGCCATCGGTGTGTAAATGGGTGATGGACTGAATGTAGTGTAAAGCGTTTTGGGGTCCTTGAACTTGATATAAAGCTGAGTACCATTTACTAGGCCTGCTCCACAGATCAATCACACACGCTTGTGGTTCATATGTGTGGAGCAAAAATCCAATTCCCCCTTTTGGTGGAAATAATTTTGCTGCCTCTTTCAGACTTGACTGAACTGTGCTGCTGTCAATATTCGTTGATAGTCAGAGTATCAGAACACAAGCAAGATCTGCGTCCTTCCCTGGATAAGAGCTGAAAAAAACATGTATTCTAATGAGTAGGGAAGTTTTAGACTTATGATTGGCTAAAATATGCTAAATTTAAAGCAAATCAACAAAATATTTCCTAAAACTGCTTTTAACTGAATAACAACTAAACCTTGTAAAGCTACTGGTAGCTCCTGGGGGAGGATTGGAAACAGCTGCTATATACAGTCAAGGCCCAGAAGTGGCTATATAACTGTTAGCAGAACGTATAAAAACATGTATACTCTACCACATATTTCAATCCAAATGCTCATTGTACTGAATACATCATAATATTCATCACTAATGCAGACAAAGTGTCTGTATAGAATAGCATAATCATTGGGTCATGCCTATGACATTTGCATGACACTGATGCCACTTGCACTACAGTACTAATGTCTTATATTGGCACAATGACATTGTTGGAATGTTCTTTACTTTGGCAAGTGTAACTACATATGATATAGAGCAGGGGTCACCAACATTATGCCCGCGCGGACCAAGGGGCCCTCAAGGAGTGTCCTTGGAGTCTTCCGAAAATAGAGCAACTCACCACTGTTCTTTTTTTGATAAGGTAATTGAAAAATAATTTAAATTAGAAATAAAAATATATTTATAATATACAAAGTTTAGGTGAACGTTGACCCTTGCAGTTCATGGGTCAGTATCTGTAGCCCTTCCTACTGTATGGCTCAGTACCTTTGAAGTGCCCCTCAACCTTAAAAAGATTGCTGACCCCTGCTATAAAGTATGGCCAGTACAAAAAGCTGTCATGGACCAGGGTTCAGAAACCCTGGTCTATGACAGTGGTTATGTTATCTTAAAAGAGTAGAACATTTATCTTGAATTAACTATTAGGAATGAAAACTAAAACACAACCTAGTTGAAGGCATAACAATAATTTGCATGCACTTTTGAATGCTCATCTAGTTTTAGGTACTATTTCTCTTTCTCAATGAACTTATCAAACCTGCAAACATCCTCAAACTAATGATGAGCAATCACTCAAAAGTATGCTTTCGGTGGGTTTTAGATAAGCACAATCTTTTAAAACATTTGTGAACAGACAGCACACGTCGATATCAAGTGGCGGTGTGTCAAAATCTGCTCCAACAGATAACTTTAAAAAAAAACAGGCTCACGTCACTATCTGGCAAACTCACTCCTGTGTTTTTTGATAACAGTAAAACATTACAAAAAAAAAAAACTCTCTCTTGCTGATTTCCTTGCAGTCTAATGGCATAGTCTGTAAGTGTTGCTGGGTGCAAAATTCAGCTCTATATTGAAACCCTTTGTATGATACTAAGGCCGGCATCGGATCCCACTGCTTGGCTCAGATTCCACCTCCAATTCGGCTCCCTTTGAGCAGCCTCCAAGATAATGTCAGCCGCTGCCAGTGAAGAGTCCGGGCTCCGTTCAGTATAACCAGAGGTGGAGTTAGACTCCTACTGTACAACATGAGCCCCATTTGCTTCCACAGGTTTGTTTTTTGAGGTTTTTGAAAGAAACAGAGGGCGGTTTAATGCACTTGGCACTCACTTTATTTTTACTTACTTTGTAATGACACCTGACACTTTTGAAAAGAATATTTGGTATGACATTATGACATCCTTCTGAATTCTGTGGTATGACAGCTGCTAAGAAAACATTGGCCATATGGTAGCTGCTGTTCCAGAGAAAATACCTGACGTTATGTGCAGATATCACTGTGGTCTATAATATTTCTCTCTTCAATCCAGTTTTGGATTGAAGGAAGAAATTGAAAGCTGCAGTGAGATATACAGATAGAAATACTTGGACATTATGTTATGCCAAACATAATATTTCTAAAACATAAAAAAATGATGTATATTATTTACAAATCTAGTCCAAACAGGTCTTTTAGGTGTTTTCAAAATTGATCAAGGCCTGTGGCCACAAATGAAATAAAACAAGATCGAAAACATTTTGGCTGCTGTTTTCTCACAGATTCCAAAATGCCGTTATGGAACAATGGTTTTTTGGAGAGACAAAAAAATTAAGTGTGGCTGGGAATTTTACGATGAGGGTCAGCAACTATGAACAATCTGTTAAAACCTTTTCAGCACTTTTTTTCCCCTTTGCCTGACACTGAAATAAATCAAAGTAAACTTAATATTCTTTCAGATGTTTGGTCAGACATAACAAAATGGATGCTGTGGTTTTGTGTATTCCGCATTGTGTTCCACATTTGGCAACTTTTGCATCTCAGAAAGTGATGCAGCAGATAATATTTTCTTTAATGCTAAACCAGAAAGAGAAAAGGGGGCAGTGGAAGTATGAAATGTTGGCTTCATGTTCTGCTATGCTAGCAGGGTGGTGTGATGGAAAGCAATGTCAATCAGTCTCTTCATGCCACGTTAACTGCAACTATCAAATGCACTGTCCAGAAGTTTTCCTCAGACAGTGGAGGTTTCTTGATAGTTCAATGGCTTGAGTAGTGATCTAACATTTTCTTTGGAAAAATCTTAGGGTTGACAGTTTACTGTTTAAGGAAAAAAAAAAGTAATATTAATTTCTATCAAGTTATTAATGATATATGTTCTGATTCCTAAACTTTAAATTCACACAGAGAGGAAGCTTTTAGCTCAGCAAGAGGTTTCTCAGCTGCAGCTGAAGCCTATTTCGTGTCAGCATGTTTATGGTAAAGCAAACGAAACAACCTTTTATCAAGATTGTGTTAGTTATGAGCATGGTGAGAAACTTCTTGAGTCCATTACTGCTATAGGGGTTTTCCAGTTTAAGCAAAAGTATCTTCTATCCACTAAATGGAGAGAGGTGCCATGATGAGGTCAGATAAAATAAAATAAAAATGATGCAATTTGATTAGTTTCATTGGTTGTACAAATTTATTTTTACCAAGTCTTATTTTGTAGCGATATTACCCTGGAATGAATTGGATGAGTATCATGTTTGCTCACCAGCTACTTTATTTGGCTCACTTGTTGATGCTTAATCCAAAAGTGGTTAGATCACCTGAAAGGAACAGTGAAGCATCATAGGGAGGACAACTTGCTGACATTCACACCAAACATCGTGCTGCGGATTAAGGGCAATTAAGAAAATATGACATGGTTCTTCAGTGGCAGACCAGCTAGTCTGAGTATTTCGGAATTTGCTGAACCAGTGGGATTTCCCTCTATGGTTGACACTATGATTTCCAGAGAATGTTCCAGAAAAAGAAAGAGAAAACATCAACAAAGCTGTTGAAAGAGAAATGTCCACATGATGTTAGAAAACAAAAGAAAACATAGACTGGTTTGACATGATAAAGAATCAACAAGCTTAAATACTGCAGTGATTCAATAATCAATCATAAAATCTAAATCCATCACAATGAAGTCAATGTTCTCCAATAGCCTGAGATCTCAATCCAAAACAGCACCCTTCCGAAGTGATAGAATAGGAGACTTACATCATGGATGTGCAGCAGACAAAATATTCTGCAATCGCATAGAGCTGTCTAGTTAGGACGAAAAAAAATCTCAGAGGAATATTCCAGAGATTTTATATCTATGCCAGAATGACTTACAGGAATTCTAAATAAAAGGAGGATCCCACCTGATACTAGATGTGCTGCGATTTCACTATCATTACTCAACTGAAAAGCTTAGACCAAAATAAAACTCCACCATTATCAGAATAATGAACAATGTATATAAAACTCTACAATTGAAAGGAATGTGTCTCTGTTTTTAACCATAATATTATAACCCTGTTTATTTGGCATCTTTTGTGCTAAATCAAAACATATACAGTAACAAACAGCAAATCACTAATTCCTCTAATATAGTAAGGGTACCACCACTAACCCTTTTTTACAAAATTGTTTCTCAGGGAGAAGCATCAAACCCTAGGGCAAAATAAAATATAGAAAATCTAACCTCTCTTCCCGTGTTAAGTTTTTTAATCTTACATTGTGTCTGTACTACACTCTATCAGAAAGCCATTTGAAAGCTATTTCTTACAAAGCAGTTGGAAGCCTTACAAAACATGCAACATTCATCCATTATTTTTGAAACTTACTGTAAATATTGTTATTATATAATTTTAAAGTTATGGAATGTTTGACATGATAAAAGTCCTGCTTATACTTCAGACAACTGAGACACAACTGCCTTTTAGCGCTGCCCATCATCCATGAAGTATTGATTGGCCCTGAGCAGTAGTCCTCTTTTCACTTTACTTTTTCCTCCAAATCAATCAGTCTGAAGCAAGCCAGCACAGGGTGGAGCTATTTA